AATGAGTCTTTGGTGTTAAATCATGTCAAATCCTTACTTTAGAGCCTCTGATAGTTCCAGTGTTTGCTCACATTCCACAGCAGAGCCTTGTAGAGATTCTGCCCTGCAGCTTCTCCTCACACACCTTATCTTGGAACTACAGGCACTTTTAGCATCAACCTCAAAAGAGGCTATTCTTTCATGCCACCAACGCTTTTTTTGCCTTTGTACATGCTGGTTCCTCACCTATCTACTCACTTCCGGCAAATTCCATCTTTTTCCCAGCCCAGATGGGGTCATCTCTTGAAAAGCTTTTTACTCCCCCACTTTCTCCTCAAACTTAGTGCCTGAGTGCTGTGTACTCTAAGATGATACTGACCACACTGGAGGGCGTTACACTTCTTTGCTGGTCTTTTTCCCAGTTGGTAGAATGCTTCTTTTTTCCTTTCAAGATTTTGTTTATTTATTTGAGAGGAAGAATTACACACAGAGAGAGGGAGAGACAGAGAAAGGTTTTCCATCTGCTGGCTCACTCTCCAAATGACAGCAATGACTGGAGCTGGGCCAATCCAAAGCCAGGAGCCAGGAGCTTCCTCTGTGTCTTCCATATGGGTGCAGGGGCCCAAGCACTTGGGACATCTTCCACTGCCCTCCCACGCCATTAGCAGGGAGCTGGGTTAGAAATGGGCAGCTGGGACTCGAACTGCTATCCATGTGGGATGCCAGCGCCACAGGTGGAGGCTTAACTTACTACACCTCAGTGCCAGGCCCCCCTCCTTTTTTAAAAAAAAGAAAATAATATTTATTTGAGAAGAAGAGTTATAGAGAGAGAGGGAGAGACAGAGAGGCAATTGGTAGAACTCATTAAGTACAGAGAAGAAGTCTGGATTGTCCCTTTGATCACCAGGCTTATCCTAATTTAGCATATATCAGTTCAGGGGAGACATATGGAGGTACAAACAGAAAGCTGGCTACTCCCCAATAAGTTTTTATTTATTTGAAAGGCAGAAAGAGAGAGAGAGAAACCCTTATCCACTGGTTTACTCACTAAATGCTCACAAGATCCAAGCTTTGGACCATGCCAAAGCCAGGAGTCCAGAATTCAATCTGTGTTTCCCACATGTGAGGTAGGGACTCAACTACTTGAGCCAACCCTTGCTGCCTCCCAGGGTGTACACTGGCAGGAAGCTGGAATTGGGCGTGAAGCTGGAACTTGAACTCAGGCATCCTATTCAGTGTCTTAACTGCTATGCCAAATGCCTCACTGTCTCTCTTTAAAAAGTCATTGTGTTAGCTTAATTCAAAGGTAGAGTGGTGGTAATCCTGATGGCATGGATTGGGGTGCCAGTGGGTGATGGCAGAGTGAAGCATCTGTGGGATGTTGAGGAGATATCTGTGGTTCAAAGAGGTGGGAATATCTAAGGAATGATGTGTTCTATAACTCAAGTCCTGAGATTTTCATTGCTTAATGGTGGCATGGGGCCTTCCTGGGTAGTGACGAGATGCTCCTGCTTGAAGAATGTGGAAACCTTGTCTGTGGGTAAGGGGAGGTGTGTTGAGCTGGACTGTACTGAGGGTATGAGATGATCCTGAGAGACTGACCCGTTTTTTAATGGGGCTTTGAGCCTATTTTGAGTGAGGAGTATGGCCAGATGGCTAATAAGTGGATCCTTTCGACACATTTCTTCTTTCCAGGTTGTTCTTCGTGGGCTCCCGTGAGGGGCACCTCCCGGACCTTCTATCCATGATCCACATTGAGCGTTTTACACCCATCCCTGCTTTACTGTTTAATGTAAGTTCTGATGGAGAAGTGTGGGGTTTATGTTTACCCAGGACTCCTTCTAATTTGCCCTAAGGGGTTTTATACACACACACACACACACACACACACGCAAGGGTACTGCAGAAAGTTCACAGAAAATAGGGTTAAACTCTGCATAGAGCATAATATATTCATGAGGGGTCTTCAAAAAGTTCATGGAAAAATTTGCATTATCTTTAATTTCATTTTTACTTTTATTTTAAAAAGATTTTTTTTTAATTGGGGCTGATGCTTTGGCAAAGCAGGTAAATCTGCAGCCTGCAGTGCCAGCATCTCGTATGTGTGCCAGTTCAGGTCCTGGCTGCTCCACTTCCAATCTAGCTCCCTGCTAATATACCTGGGAAAGCAGCAGAGGATGGCCCAAGTCCTTATTTATTTGAAAGGCAGAATTATATAGAGGTAGAGACAGAGAAAGATACAGGTATCTTCCATCTACTGGCTCACTCCCAAAATGGCTGCAATGGCCTGGGCTGGGCCAGGCCAAAGTCAAGGGCTAGGAGCTTCTTCCAGGTCTCCCATTTGGGTGCCGGGTCCAGAGTACTTGGGCCATCTTCTGTTGTTTTTCCCACGCCATTAGCAGGAAACTGGATCTGAAGTGGAGCATCTGGGACACGAACTGGTGCCTGTATGGGATGCCAGCATTACAGGCAGCAGCTTTACCTGCTATGCCACAATGCCAGTCCCCATTTTCCCATTTTCCAAAGCCAGGAGCCTGGAGTTTCTTCCGGGTCTCCCATGTAGGTACAGGGTCCCAAGGACTTGGGCCATCTTCTACCGCTTTCCCAGGGCCACAGCAGAGAGCTGGATCAGAAGTGGAGTAGCCAGGGATTGAACCAGCACCCATATGGGATGCCGGCACTGCAGGTGGTGGCTTTACTTGCTATGCCATAGCGCCAGCTTGAATGTTTCTCTCATTTGTGACAAGTAGTTGGTACCTAGATCTAAGCACCTCCTTAGGGCACAGTGTAATTCATGTTGAAGTTGGTGCATTGAGGTCTTCCCTGTCTACCTTTAGAAGGGAGAAGAAATCTGGCTTGGACTATAAGTACTTGTAATAGAAGGGAGGCATTGAGTTTAGGAAGGCCCCAGTAGAAGGCAAGACCCTGCCTTGAAGTTTCATATGGAGAATGGTCCTAAGTGATGTCAGGGGGTTGCTGAAAAGGACCAGAGGTAATCAAGTGAAGCCACATCAGATCTGGTGCTGTTGGATGGTGGAATCTCGTGGGCTAGGCTGTTGCAGACAATATGCACTCTTCCTCTCTACCCTTCCCTCCACAGTGTGCCATGGCACTCATCTACCTCATTGTGGAGAATGTTTTCTTGCTCATCAACTACTTCAGCTTCAGCTACTGGTTCTTTGTGGGCTTATCTGTTGTTGGACAGCTCTACCTTCGCTGGAAGGAGCCTGACCGGCCTCGTCCTCTCAAGGTCAGTGTTGTGGGCAGAGGAGGAGGGGTGGGCCATCTCCCAAGGTATCTTGCCCATCTCCTGTACCCCCATCCTACCTTCTTTAACATCTCACCTCCCTCCATTTCAGCTGAGCCTGTTTTTTCCCATCGTGTTCTGCATATGCTCCGTGTTTCTGGTGATCGTGCCCCTCTTCAGTGATACCATCAATTCCCTCATTGGCATCGGGATCGCCCTCTCCGGGGTCCCTGTCTACTTCATGGGTGTTTATCTGCCAGAGTCCCGCAGGCCACTTTTTATACGGAACATCCTGGGTGAGCTTCTCTTTGCCCCATCACTCACTGGCTATGTGTGTGTGCACATACGAATGCCCATAGAGGTGGGGGTGGCGAGTGGCTAACAGCTTCTCCCTGTGTTTGTGATTTCCTGGAGGCCATGAGACCTGGATTCCCCATGTGACTTCCTTTTTGGTCTTGATGTGATCACTTTAATTCTAATTTTAGTGTCCTATTTTGGAGTGTAAAGCACTACCACCTGACGGTGCAGTGCACCTGGGAAGACAGGGAGTCACGCATCAGCCTCTGGCTGAGCAAGGGGCAGAGGATAGTAGTATCGGGATGAGGCACAGTGCTTGGCACAGGCTACCCGAGGGACAGATTGGGAGGGAAACCACAGTTTGTTTTAATTAACCTTGTGTTGTTAGGGTTGGGGCTGTGGCCAAACGTGATTGCTAAATCCTGTGCTTCTCTATTTTCATTTAGCTGCTATCACCAGAGTCACCCAGAAGCTTTGCTTTTGCGTCCTGACTGAGCTAGATGTAGCTGAAGATAGAAAGGTTGAGAGGAAAACTGAATAGATGCCAGAGGTGACTTCCCCTGTGTCCTGGAAGGCTGGCCACCTGTGGCCACAGCCACCAAGGTCCAGATTACAAGACTATGTGGGCCCAACCCTCCTGAATTAAAGGAGCCTGTTGACCCATGTAATATAAGGGGGCTCAGGGCCAATGTTCACTCTCATTGGTAAGCTATGGGAAGAAACTCAGGGTCTGGGGCCAGCTTGAAGGTGGGGACTTCAGAGGGTGGGTTGGGGAGGAGACTGGGGAGCTGGGGATTGGTTATCAACGTTGATCCTAGTGGGCAGGTACAGCCCTGACAAACGTATTTGGTAAGTTGCAGTGGAGGAATCAGGAATGCTGGCTGGTGATTTCTGAATTGAAATTTTGAACCAGGAATTTCTACAGAGGAGCTACTTTTTGGGAAATTTTCCTCTGACCAGGTCTTAGCACCTGACTTTAGAGGCATGAAATGCTACTTTCTCTTCCTGTGCTCAAAATCCTTTCCCAGGGAGATGGTTGTATTCCTTTGGGTGGTGGGGGATGGTGGCCTGAACAGCAAGGCTTTATTTAGCTGATCCCGGAACAGTGTATCTCCCTCTTCTTGAATTCCACAAGAAGAACATCTTCCTGCTCTGGAATTTCACACTCAGACAATAAGCCTGAAAGGGAGAAGTCTCTTCAGGGTCCCAGAAGTGTCCACTGAAGGTCCCTCCTGTCAACGTTGGCCCCTCATTCTGTGCATCGGTATGCTTGGGAAGCCACAGGACCTCACTGTTGTACAGGTTAGTTATCTCCTTTGAGGAGATTCTGCCTGTCTGACTGAATTTACTTGGATTATATTTGTACTTATGTTCAACATTGTTAAGAAAGGAGATGAGCTTTCAGCTCCAAAATGAATTGTCTTTGCCATCCAACTGCGTGCTTCCTAGCTACAGCTACCGAGCTTCAATCCCGAAACAAGGGCTGAGGAAAACCTCACTGCTCCAGAGAGAAGGAGCAGCTTTGCAGCTAACTGGACATGTTGACCACCACTGCCACCACCAACTCCTGTACTTCATTTTCTATTGTTTAATCCAGAACAATTCCAGCAAAGCAGTAGTGTTCTTTCATCTGTAGGATGCAGTAGGCTCAATTGTGTTTAAAAAATTGAAAAGTATCAAGCGCCTAGTCCCTCTGCCCCCAGAAGTATCTCTGTAGCAGGGCAGATTGTGACCAGATTTTATGCTCAGTTTAGCACAATCTTTGGTTGAATCTTATCTACAAAGGTGAACTTTAAGGATCTTTTTTACTCATATACCTGTTATACTTTAGTATAGATAGGTCACATGTTACAAGCAACTGACTCTGGTTCAGCAAGGACGGATGAACAAATTCATGAGTCAGACGTTTGGTAATACTGCTATTTTGAAGGATAATCCTGTTTTACTTGACATTTTGGTCTTTGTTCTAGTTGATAGAAGTAAATCTTCAGGTTTCTGGTGTGAATTTTAAGAGGATTGAAACAGAGAGGGCTTAAACTGTTCTGGAATTCAGGTGGATCACCTGAATTCTTTCAGCTGTCAGTGCTTGAAGACTATCTCAGACCCATGTCATCAAAGAGCTTGTTCTTTCTCTATGGGCTGGCATGAGCAGCTGCTGTGCAGACCCAAGCAAGCCCACCCTGGTGCTAGAAGTGGTCATTTTCTTTTCTGAAAACCTCTTGCCAGGCTGATTCTCCTGTGTCCCCAGCACCAGGGTTTGTTTACACTCTGAGCCACTTGGTGTGGGTCATCAGGATAGTACACTCCTTTCCTGCTCGCCTCCTCTTGCTCCCGAAATCTAATGGGGCTGCAGTCTCAGGAAGAGCTTGGTACTTGTCAGGACTTCGATTTTTTCCCTGTGAAGATCAGTGAATACTCTGGGAGAAAAGCTGCTTCAACCTCAATCTGGCTCCTCAGCAGACCACATGAGTGGAAGCAACCAAGCCTGGTGCTCAGCCTGGGCTTTTAACCCCCAGGATGGGCCAGGGGGGCAAGTCTGGCCTAATGGATCATCCTTCGTGGGCAGGAGGGCTGTAGTGGATTGGATAGTTGGTCTGTCATGCCCCAAACACTGTCATTCTGGGCCCAGAACTTGCTAGCTTGATAACTCCTATGGGCTTTCATGCCTTTAGGTTTTTAGAATTCGTTAACAGTAAAGACAAGAATACGGCAATCTTCCTGACCATTGTTATCCACCAAACTGGCCCCAGTCACAGATAAGGGAGTAACCTTGATCATATACTTGCTCAATAAAGAAGACTTAAGAGAGCATGATCACTGTTGCCTTTGATTTAGGGTATGCATCCGTGAAAAAATGGTGGGGGGTGTTCTTACAGTCACAGAAGAGGGATTTTTCCAGCAAATCCTGACAACAGGGAGTCCTGTGCAAAGGCTGACTTGCCTGGACTGTATAAACATGATTCATACCCTGGCCAAACGGGCACCTATCCGAGGACTCCTCTAGAGCTAATCCTTTGAAGAGTGTGCTTGGCTCAAGGACCTCTGACCCTGGCTTTAGCTAATAACCGGCTAATTCCAGGAATTTTCTGCCCCCTAGTGGCTTCTAGGGGAAGCAAGGGCCTCACACTCCAGGTGCTCCCTAGTACTTAGTGAGCCGTCACCCTCATTACTGGATGGTGACAACATTCTTCCCCTCTGTGCTGCATAGACTTTCCCTAGGAACCCTTATGTGAGAGGGATGCCAGACTCCCTACTGAAGTCAAGCTTCATGACGGAATTAATTTCCATCAGTTCTTTGTGGTCCGGCTCCTTAAATCCTTCTCCTGGTGTGCTAATCCTTTTTGCAGCGGGTGCATTTTGTGAAATTGTGAGCCTTTAATGTTGGCAAAACTATTGAGTACATAAACAGCAGTAAGCACATTATAATGGTTAGAGTGTTTTTAAATCCTTCATTTAAAAAAAAAAGATTTATTTATTTTAAAGTCATAGTTACAGAGAGGAGAGGGAGAAAGAGAGAGAGGTCTTCCATCCACTGGTTCACTCCTCAGATGACCGCAATGGCCGGAGCTGCGCCATTCTGAAGCCAGGAGCTTCTTCCAGATCTCCCAAGCGGGTGCGGGGGCCCAAGGGTTTGGGCCATCTTTTACTGTTTTCCCGGGCCATAGCAGAGAGCTGGATGGGAAGTGGAGTGGCCAGGTCTCAAACCGGCACCCATATGGGATGCCAGCACTGCAGGCGGCGGCTTTACCTGCTACGCCACAACGCTGGCCCCAAATTCATTTTTATGCTTATAGGAGACTAAGTAGTATTAGACATTAGTTACAGCCAATGCTGACTTGCACCTGTGCTTAGCTTAGGATGGGAAAATACATCCTGTTCCCCCATAGCTTAGGATGGGAAAATACATCCTGTCCCCCCACCCCGCAGTGGTAAGCAAGGAAGCAAGGTTTATTGGGGTAGGACATCCATCAGAACAGGTGGAACAGAACCCGAGAGTGCCCAGTCAGACTGAGGAAAGCAAGGTTACATGGTTAAATAGAATACACCTGGAAGGCAAGGCGGGCGGCTCAGCAGAGCGCTTAGTGCTGAACACCGCCTGTTGCCGGGACACTGAAGTTATTTGGCAGGTTTAACACTCCATAGGTGCAAACTTACAAAATGAACACAAAGTGAAAGGATTTGTGGAGGTAGGATGGAGAAGTAGAAGTCTTAATGTGTCAAGTGGGGCTAGCATTTTGGCATAGCTAGTTAAGTTGCTGCTTGTGATGCTGGTATCCCTTATGGGCGAAGGTTGCTCTACTTCTGATCCAGCTCCTTGCTCATGGCCTGGGAAAAACAGTGGAAGATGGCCCAAGTGTTTCAACCTCTGCCACATTGCAGGTGCGGATGAAGCTCCTGGCTCTTAGATTCAGCTTGGCCCAGTGTGGCTGTTGTGGCCATCTGGGGAGTGAACCAGTGGATGGAAGATCTTTCTTTCTAACTCTTTCAAATAATCTTTAAAAGAAAATGTTGCAAGAAGGTATCTGTGTAATTCACTTTTCCATGTGAATCAGATACCTGTCACAGGGCAAGAGGGTGTATCTTGGATTGAATGTCGTCCCCCCCACCCCCACCAAAACCTATTTGAAAGAGAGAGGTTCACTCCCCAAACACCCACAACAGCTAGGGCTGGGCCTGGCCAAAGTCAGGAACCAGGAATTATATCTGGGTCTCCCATAGGAGGGACCCAACCACAATGCCAGCAGCATTGTCTTCCAGGGTGCACATTAACAGGAAGCTGGAATCAGGAGCAGAGCCAGGACTTGAACGCAAGCACTCTGAAATGAGGTGCAGGTGTCCCAGATGGGGGTCTTAATGGCTGCACTGAAATGTTCATCCTGAATTGCAGGTTCTGTTTTGTTTCACCACACCTGTGTTGTCTACTACAGTAGTTACTAGCCACATGTAGCTAAAGTAAAATGAAATAAAATTAAAAACTCAGCTTCTCCATTGTACTAACCACATTTCAAGTGCTCAAAGCCACAGTATGGCTAGTGGCTACTATTAGAAAGTGAACACCGCCTGTTGCCTGAACACAGAAGTTATTTTGGCAGGTTTAACACTCCGTTAGGTGCAAACTTACAAAATGAACACAAAGTGAAAGGACTAGTGGAGGGAGGATGGAGAAGAAGTCTTAAAAAATGTGTTCTTTGTGAACACACAAAGAAAATATTCATTGCTGCATGAGGCCCTACTGGTTGTTACTTCAGAATAAAGGCCAAGTCATATTCAGAGATAAGGCAGCTGTGCTTTTGGGAAGCAGTAGGGACAGAGTTTGCTTACAAGAGATACAGTTCTGTTAACAAAACTGATCCTGTTGTTTGATTTTGGTGAGTGCTGTGAATATAAACATTTCTCAATGGAAAGCTAAGGTGAGGATGTGGGTTTTTTTTTCTTTTCCTTGCTTGCCCTAAGTCCTTAGTGTCTGAGGTCAATTCTGAAACCTTGTCTCACTGCCCACCCCCTTTTGTGGAGGTGGAATGTGGTAGGAAAACATGTCAGATAATCCAGTTTAAAAATTTTTAAAGAATTACTTGCTTCTACCTTCTAAGTTGGCTTTTTTTATTATTATTAAACAGAGTATCACATTCATGCAGTTTGTTCCCTGGCACCACTGCCAAAGAGCAATCTTACAACCATCATCAGAGTCCAAAGCAGGGGTGCAGGAGACAGCTCTTAACTAACACCTTCCACAGCTGAGGCAGCTTTTACTTCCTGCCCTGACAGCAGTCACTGTCCAATCTGTGCTGCTGTAAGAGTCCTTCAGTATCCACTGTAGGTTCCTTCTATCAAAACGAACAGGCTTTTACCAGAGGCAGGCAGCTTGACTGTATGGAAAAGCAGAATATTACTGCTGATGAAACAGGAGCCTTCCTCCCCTTTGACTTCAGCACCAATCTAGAACACCAGGAAAAAATGTCAAGGCTAAGAAGCTAACAGAACCTTTCTTTTTCAGACTGTAGGTCATTTTTGTTTGAGGCAAAAGGTCCCTACTGTTAGTGGCAGACTCACTCAGCATAAACTTTCACCATGGTGAGGTGGTGCTCAATTACTTTTTAGAAACCTAAGAGGATGTCACCAGAGCAGGTGACACTGTAGTCCCAGAGCCTTCACAAGCCTGTGATAGAGCCTCATGTCAGTCTGAATCCAGGTCATGGGGACTGTCATAGCCAAACTCCTTTTGTACATCCAAAGGGTACTTGCTCCACACTCGTCGTCTGCTGCTGCCTCTTTCCTCCTCGCTGAGGCTGCTGGATGCATCAGAGCCTAGGACACATCAGAAATGGATTCTGTGATCTTCCTTCTCAAAAAGGCCCATTTTTGTTATTTTGTTTTTGTTCCTCACTAGAAAATATTTGCTCAGTAAAGGAAATTTAGCAAATAGAACAACTTTTCTTTATTCTTACCATCTAAACTACATCCTTTAACGCTGGAGTTATTTTGTCACTTTCCTCCTAAGTATAGGATTTTTCTTTGTTATAATTGTAGTCATATTGCAGCCTTTCTTTTTAACTTATATTAGTACTTTCCCAATAGAATATTCCATTGAGTGATGAGTGACTCCTGTTAGGAGACACCAAGAACTTCTTTATGTTGGCACCTTAAATAAGAACATGGTCAAAGGAACTATATTGCTGGGGCATCTCTCCTTTCCCCCTAAGTGCTATGCCTGTGTTGCGTCTCATAACTGACTTAAGAAAACCCTGGGCCTACTCCTTCTGGTGAACCCTTCTACTCTTTCCTGACTGGAGCAAGAAAAAGAAACATTGAGCCAGATGTGTGACTTAATCCCAACCAGTGAAGTTGGTGCAACATTTTTCTCATTTTCTAAAGACAAAATGAGGCTCAGTGAGGTAAAGTAAACTGTCAAAGACCTATAGCTAGGCAGTGAGAACCAAGCATTTGAATCAGGCCTGGTGGCATTATGCCCCCAGCAGTTTCCCCTGATAACACTGCTCAGCAACACTGCTAATAGCAGAGAAGGGAAGCCAACTGACTATATGTCAATTATGCTAACAACTCACTGTTGGATCCTACCAATCTCCCCCCACCTGGGGCTGCCACCCACCTCTGGAATCTTCGTCTCCATCACTGCTCTCCTCCTCTGGGTACTCATTTCGCCAATTATTCTCACTGTTCTCATCATCTTCATCTTCATAAATGTCCTCTGGTTGCTCATCATCATTCACCTGCACATCTCAACACAAACATGAGTCTAGTCAAAACTTTTGGGGTTATACTCTGGGGGAAACCATTAGCATATTGCCTTGGGGAGACATCATGTAAAGGTGCCATGTGAAAAGAGGCAGACTTGGAATTAGTTTGACCCTGCTGCACAAGAAACTCTAGTACCCTCAGGCTCTGAAGGGCAGAGTAGCCCAGTTTGACTTAGAGTGCAGCTTTCCTGATGTGATAGGCTCAACTCCACTGAAAGGGAGTGCAGGGTACAACCAATAGCTCTGAGGTAATGGCAGTGATCTTCAAATTCCTGAGGGGTCGCTAAGTGGGAAAGGAATTACAGATGATGCCAAAGGTCAAAACCAAAACCCCAGAAAAAGGAGTGCAGGAAGGCAGGAGGAGGAGCCATTCAGTGTTCCAAGGAGGGTGCCTGACACAAAACGGATCCCAGTGCAGGTGCAGGGTAAAGTGCTTCTCACAGTGTGTGACAATTTATGACTAATGGTATCAGGATATTAGCTTTCATTATCCAGTGTTTTCTCCTGTCTTAAAATACAATAAAATAAAAAAACCCAAAGCTTTTATTCTCATTAATG